TTTTTTCCAAACTGTCCAAATTGGGACAATTTGAGTTTCAAAATAATGATCCTAAATCATTATTTAGAGACTCAAATGAGAAACTAAAGGTTCACTCAAGTTCATATATAATAATACCATTTAACAAGCATATAAAATTACTAAAACTATTAGCAAAAACATCATACATAATCTCTAATACAAAATATTTCAGGGCCACACTAAACCATGTATATATCCTAACCAACCTATATTATATTTCAAAACACAATTTCAGGATCACAATGTAGGCAAAAATAAACAATTCAAACCAAACTAAGATATTAATCAATCCAAATACTAATTTTAAATTGTAATTTCTAATTCACACTCACCCTAAAATTTAATTAAATGTATCAGAATCAAAATAAAGGTGCAAATTGTATCCAATATCACATTAATTCAAATAATTATACTATAATAAATCAAACAAAAGCCTAAAAATTATATAATGCCCTAACATATTGTAGACCTCCCAATAAGTGCGTCTTACAACAATAATGACGAATGGAGACTGGAACGCGACACAAATATGCTTCAATGGAGTTGTAATTCCCAACTGAGTAGTGAGAGCAAGAGAATGAGAGAGATTGAAGACATAGAGGGAAATAAAGAGAACCCAGAGCAAATGGGAGAGCACAAAGTGAGCAAGAAGGAGAGAATGTACCTGTAGTAGTTAATGGAAGACGCAGAGAGCGAGAAGGAGAGCGTAGAGAGCGGCAAAAAACGCAAAAACAGAGAGCGCGAGATTGAAGAAAGGGGGATTAGGGTTTTTAAAAATTTGACTTTAGATAGCGGTTTGCTAAATAATCGTTATCTAAACTACATTTATTATAGCGGTTTCACGAAGTAACCGTTATCTAAAGTTATGATAGCGGTTTCACGTGTCAACCACTCTTCAAAGGTATGATATTAGAGAGCGTTTTACTCTTAATCGCTATCTAATATGTATTTTTAAAAGTGGTTTTTGTTAACCGTTATCTAAAGTGTCGTCACAAAAACCACTTTCTGTTGTAGTGAAAATACTCTTAGATAAAAAAAATAAAGGGTAAATACATCATGACTCATGTTGAACTTTAATTGAATATTTGGATCTTTCTTTAAACTTTTCAAATTTTGTGTCATATGTTACAAATTGTTCCTATTTTTACCAAATTTATGCATTTTTATTAATTAAAGCAAGATACTGAAATTGGTTGGATATTCTTGAATGACTCTTAATGGCTTGTTTATCATATATGCCTTATCTTTTAAAATATTTAAATAGAGATTTTTCAAAGTTAAATATTCTAAAATTGACATGTTAATTCATTATCTTATTACGATGGTCATACTTTCCATTTCATTATAATGGAAAAAAATCAATTAAATGTAAGTCCGAGGCCAAACATTTGTTGATTGTCGAGGATATATTAAAGATAAAAAAAAAAACTTCCCATTAGCAAAGTTTTTTTTTCTCGAAAACCAAGTATCTTAATTTATAGATAAGAATACCTTTTTGGTTTTTTACAAACTTACATTTTATTGAGATTTTATTTTTCTTAATACATGTATTATTTATTATTGTGTAGATATAATTGGGGAAAGATTTTAATTATCGCAAGATTTGAGTTAAACTTGGGATGACTCTAATGAATCTTGTTGTCAGTCTTAATTCCTATAATCGTCCATTTAAAAAGGCTAAGACTTCTCAATTGAGTCCTACAAATACAAACTCTTAATGCACTCTACAAGTCAATATTGAGATTACACCTGATACAAACAAAGTGCATTTCATAAATCCTTCTATGGTCAAGAATATGTTGACTCTTATTCATATCATTGCTCTAGGTATTAATTCTTTATAACATATAAACATAACAACTAATATTATCAAAATGGGAGGTGTCTTCCCTCCATCTTTTGATGTTGATTTAATAAAATGCCACTATGCTTGTTGAATGCCAAGATTTTTCCAAAGTGATGATATCTAAGTGCAAGTTTATCATCCATTAATGAAAAGAAGTATTAGTAAATGGACGAGAAGAAAAATTCTACATTTAAAAGTATTAATATATATATAAAAAAATACTTACTTGAGTTATAGAGGCACACACATACTCTTTGGGATCCTTAGGCCCACCATATCAATCTATGGTCGAAGGCTTTAGTGAAAGGGTGGTTGTACCCATTATTCTTCGTAGTCTAAAATTGCATCCCATGACGTGGCTATCAAGGATCTAATGATAATTATAATTCATGCAGTTGCAAAGTTAGGTGTGAAGGGGTACACAACATTTTTGCATCATCCCATTTTTTGATGGGGTCACAGTTTAAGTTGTTTGCTTGGGATGATTAGTTGTACGTTGATGTGATGAATTGATTGATTTATCTTCAGACGTGTTTATCATTATATTCTAGTTCTTCTCACTATGGAGAGGTTGATGATGATCTATTGGTGTCTTTTGGCGAAATGCCTCTTCCCCAATTGAGTTTTCTCATTGACATTTGGGTTTCTTCTCAAAGAGAAACAAATTGTTTTGATATTGGCACTGAACTCTTTGAAGATTGTCATTGGTTTTATGCTCCAAAGACTCAATGTTTGTATGAAGGTTGTCATTGTTTTGTTGTAATGTAACAAGATTTGCATAAAAAAATGGTGTGAGCTTGTTCTTGAACATCTTCCATGTGGGTTTTGAGGACGTTAATGATGTCAACCACATCTATCTCTAAAACTGAATTAGTGGATTGATTTCTCATTAGCATCATAGAAGAGTGTGGTCTAAAGATTTGTTTTACCATACTATAGATGACAAATGTTACGACCCAAATTAGCATGCTTCAAAGATCAAGTTAACTAAAAATTGAGTTGATAAGCTAGGGATGCAATTATCTTTACTCCAATTCTTTTATAGTTTAACCAATACCGCCATTATTTGTCTTTAAATTTTATACTTATTCATGTATTACTAATTCTACACATTTTGATGATATTTGAATTATCCAACTTGAGTGTTTATTCTGTATTGACCTAAGTTAACTCGTATCAACCTATCTTGACCTTACTTGTGCTAACTTGATCCAACTCTTCTTTATCACGTTCGACCCAGTAGCCTATAACAAATATGTACCACCTTAATTATCCTATCCTCACTTGACTCATCTTGATCTAACATACTCATCTTAATGACTTGACATATCTTGTCTTGGTAAGACCCATTCTATATCATTTTGTCCCATGTTATTTTGTTATAACTTGACTTGATCCAACCCGACCTAACATAGTCTAATTCTTCCTTACTTAGTTAGACTATGTTCAACTTGTCATAACAACTTGATTTGACCCAAATTTTTTGACTTAATATAATTTGTCTGAACTAAAATCCTTTATATCAATTTGTTCTAATTTAACTTCATCTAATCTAATTTTTCATAATATGAATAATTTATTAGTGTAGAAATGGATATATTAGATAATTGAACCAAGTACATCTTTTCAATTTATGTTCTTAATTTCTTGGTACGAATATCAATAAAAATTGATAGGAAGTGTAATATGGGCTCATGAAGATATAACCTCATATAAGTGAATAAAAGTAAAGGATTATTAGTTGAAACTAATTAATAAATTTAATAATAATTTTTATATTTAATAATAATTAAAATCTTTTATTCAAAATTTAATTGAAATTATCTTGTATAAATAAATAACTCATTCGAAAATTTAAAATGAAACTAATTAAAATTAATAATATGTAAATTTCTTGAAAATCCAAACACTGACGGGTGAAGTAATTTAATAATTTCGAAACGTCCATTGCGAATCCTCACCTGAATAATTTTCTTCTTCATGTACACATCTAAATAAATAAGAAATGTTGTCCATAGACTAACAAATAACCGAATTAAGATGATAGGTAATGCAAAAGATGAAGTGATTTGACATTCGTACTTTTTAATTCAAGTATAATTAAAATAATATTTAAAATTCTCAGAACCCAAAATTCTAGATGTTGGTTTATGCTTAAACTCTAACACGTGCTTTGTCTTTGAAGTTACCAACCAAAGATACTTTAGCTTTCATGCCAACGATAAAAATAAACAGCTACTTTACCCATTTTGTCTAAAATGGGATATAGTTGTAATATTCTTATTAATTAACTGTATTTTTTTTAAATTTATACATTTTTAATTATTAAAAGTAAGTCTCTTAACTGAAATTTCTTTTGATAATTAATATTTTTTTTTACTTCCGTAATTGCATTTTCACAGACTCAAAAATGAGATATGAAATTTTTCAATAAGACTAACGAGTAAAATATAAACCACTGCTACGCTATATTTTCCTTAATACTTGATGTTTAATGTCGAATGTTTAATCTTAGCAATTAAAGTTTTTTATCTAAAAAAATAAAAAAGTCTCAACTAAAATTATACATAAACAAAAAATTGAATACTAAAAATGTAGTTAAGAGACAGAGAATCGATGCATTATGTTATATGTGGACCAAGGAATCTTAATAATTACTATCTACAAGGTGGTTTTGTCGTTTCAATATCAACAACCGGCCACTACATGCATGAATCAAAAGACAAATAAGCCTTGACATATTCAAAATTATTTTAATTAAATTTTTAAAATAGAAAAAAAAATTCTTTTCTTAAGTGTTTAGCAACTGTCATACTCCTTATAATATTTTTCTTTACTTTCTTTGCTTTTAGAGATGGAAATAGGTCATGCAGTTTAATAAAAAAATTCATGTACATAGATCTGAGGCAGAATAAAAAGTTGAGAGGGTCATTTTAATTTTTTTTTCAAAAAATCTTATATATTAATCATGCAACATGCAAAAATGCCTTTTTTTTTTCTTTTTTTTTCATCTGAGACATCAAATAAAATCTTAACCATCTATCGACTAATTGGCAGTTTTTCTACTTACATTGCGGCAAAAAGAAACAGAATGTTAATTAAAATCATGACCATGTTAGTTTAGGATCACTTTTCAGTCATAGGCCCATAAAATTGGCAAGTCAGGCCCAAACAAGTGCCTTGTACGTAAAACCGTACCTTGATAGGCAGAAAGACAAATGCACAAAAATGGAGGACAACGAAAAACCAATTAGCAGAATTATTGCTTACAATACCATGTAGCAATTTTTAAGATAAAGGAACGGTTAGTCCATAGATAGAAGGATAAATCTCATATTCTCAAGATAAATATTTTGATTAAGTAAAACAAAATTTATAATCGTTCTAAGAAAAAAAATAAATTTATTTCTATTTTCAATTATAGATCTATACATATACACTCTAAAATATGATATATTAATATACTACTTTACTTATACGCATATCATTTATTTACTTAGATTATATTCTTTAATCATGTTACTTACAAAATAAGAGTTGTAGAAAAAAATAGAGAGTAAAAAATAATGAACAACAAGATTGTAATTTTATTATTAGTCTGAAAAGTGAAAAATACTTATTTTAAATAAGATATAAGACGAGGAATAAAAGAAAAATAAGAGAACGAGATGAGAAAAAAATTTATAAGAGGAAGATGATAATATTGTTCATTATTTTACCTAAAAAAAGGTCATAATAGTTATCTTAAAACCAAATCTTATTTGTTTTCGATTACAAAATCTCTCATTTCTTACTAATGTTCTTGTATGGGTGCATGATTTGTAGATTTTTAGGTGTTCTTTCCTTTTAACAATTTTTATCTTTTTTTTTTCTCTCCTCATTGTCTAGCATATGATTTATACACCATCATTCTTCAATTGCTTTGTGTCATTTGTCATGTCAACCTTACTTCTTCCATCAAAGACGACCTTATCCTAAATGTTGAAGTATAGATATTGACTTTTGAATGTAATTATGTTCTCCCAATTGGCTTATGCTTGTTCTTGTACCATGTATTATACCAAAATTTGATCTATTATCTGGTTACCTTTGACAATTGTTCTTGTTCTTGTTTGCAATATAACCATTGGTTGTAATTTTTAGCTATGTTTATAAATAAGTAAAGGGGATGGAATTATAAATGTCACCTCTTCTCCTTAAAATTTCTTTAATTGAGATATGTTGAAACTAGATGTATTTTAAATTCTTCAAGGATAGATAATTTATAAGAAAATGTGTCAATCCTTTATACTATTATGAAGGATCCAAAATATTTCATACTTAGCTTCTGATTTCTTCTTAGACTAAGTGAATGTTGTTTGTATGGTTGCAATTTCACCCAAACTTTCTAACCAACTTGAAATGGAAAGTCTTGTCTCTTCTTATTTGCCTGCGTCTTCATGTATTATTGTGCTAGATCTAGGTTTGCCTTAAGATTGGCTAGTATAAGACATCCATATTCTACATTAGTACTTGAACAATGTGATTGTCCTCCTCACAAGAATAATATTTCGTTAATTTTGGGAGGGAGGGGGGGATCTCTTCCATTGTCGCCTTAAAGGTGGTCATTCCCAAACTATAGTAAAAGAAGGTGATGTACAGTATTCAGCCTACGATAGCATGTTGACCCAAGTGTTGGTTGCTTGAGTGGTGAATCATCTTAAATACATCCATCTTAAATACATATCTAAACATTTATTTAATGCATCGGTCTATCCATCTATTTGAGAATGGTATACAAAACTCATGGCAAGTGTCGTCCTTTGTAATTTGAATAGGTGCTGCCAAAATTTGCTAGTGAAACCTTATCTCTATCAGAGACAATTGTTTTAGGTATGTCGTGGAGCTTCACCACATTGTGCATGGAGCCTTCTGCTACTTGCAAACTTGTATAATTAGTTTTTAAGGGATAAAAATGACCATACTTTGAGAGTTTGTCAACTACCACCATTATGATAATGTATCTCTCTGACAAAGGTAATCCTATGATGAAATCCATGACAACATCTTCCTGAATTTGAGAAGGAATTGAAAAAGGTTGTAATAATCCAATAGAGTGAGTATGTTTAGCTTATTGACAGATAATACATTTTTTTAACAAAGTCTTGAAGAGGTTTTCCCCTCGTATTAATTCCTTTAGCTCATCTAGTGTGGACTCCATTCTTTGGAGTTGGACAAAATTCTCCAGATCCATCTTCTCTAAGGTGGATACAGTCTGTTTCAAGTGTTGAATGTCATTAGACATTTATTTCATACAAGTATTCTTGTTCATTTCTATTTTTCTCAAAGAATAAAAACACTAACGTAACCCAATTATTCACGAAACAAGAGTAGTAGAATAAAGAAAGAGTAAAAAGTGAATGGACAATGATGCTGTGATTTTATTATTAATTATGAAAGTGAAAGAACTTGTTTTAGAGAAGACATAAGGAGAGGAATAGAAGAACAAGAGAGTGAGGTGAGAAGAAAAATTTATCAAAGGAAGAAGATAACACTTTCATTACTTTTGCCAACAAAAAAATCCCAACAATCAGCCTAAAAAACAAATCTCATTTCTTCCCATTACAAAATTTCTTATTCATACATTTTGTTGCTTCTCACGAATGCCTTTGTATGAGTGCATGATTCGTGGATCTTTTGCTAGGTGTCCTTCCTTCTTAATGACTTTTGTCTATTTTGTATCTTTTATTTTCTTCTCATTGTTTGACATTATAATTGACATACCATCATTCTTCAATTATTTCGTGCCATGTGTCGTATTGACAAGTCTTGTTACATATGTATACCTAAACATATTTTAAAAATGAACCATCTCATTGTATGTGTGCCCATCAAACATTATAGTATATGATATTTTATATGTCCGTTTTTACATATTTCTTATTTGAATAATTTGTTTATGTGTTGAATGAAATTTTAGTCTAATGCATGCTTAACATTTGGTAAGAGTAAAACCTTATTATTACATCTTTCATCTTATTACATCATTTGCCCTCACAATTATCTCTTTATTAAACATAATGCAATTTACCTATGTATTCTTTTGTACAAATAATGTTTTTGAGAAGAGAAGACCATCTATACCAATTATTGCACTTAACATTCAAAAGATAAAAAGACATTTATAAAGTCAAAGCATAGAAAGATATGTACTAAGGAAAGAAACAAACATATTGAAAAACCTATTATGATGTCACCTATTCTCTATGACAACAACAAAATGACATATTGATAATAGAAAACATAAATAATTTTGTTCAAAATTATAAGAAGCACAAATTATCCAAGAACAACATTAAATATTAAATGTTTATGAATTGCCAAAAGCAATGCATCTAATCATGAATTATAAAGCTTCTTCAACACTCACAAGTATCTTTAGATGAAAAAAATGTAAAAATAATAAGAAAAGAAGTAAAACAAATAGAAATAATAAGAAAAGAAGTAAAACAAAGTTAACAACTGTTTTAACATAGACACTAAAAAAACAACAAATCTAAAGAGTCATTATAATAATAATGACCATTTACTTAAAAAGTTATATATAACAAATAAGAAAAAAAAATATAAGATAACTATTATGTATATTCAGACGTTACCATAAACAAGTTTTTATTCTTTTGTACAATTTATAAGAGTCTAGCTCTAGAGCACTATTACCTTTTTGGAGAGTTATTTACACTAATGCTTATTCATTGTGTTCTTCTCTTGAAACACAAATATTAAGTGAGGGAGAAAATTCAATGTTGTAAATTAACTTTTGTAAATACTTTTTATTGTAAAATTTGGAAAAACTTATCAAAAGAATACTATATTTGTAAAGTCGGAGAAATTTACTAAAAAATATTTGTACGGTAAATTAGGAGTAGTAGTAAAGATAATTTATGTATTAAAATTTCATTTATTAGTGAAATTTAACGTGTTATTAATAATTAAACGCAGTCTTAGACAAAACAATATAAAACTTAAGTATTCCTCTGTTTTATATTATTTTGTTTTATCTAACCTTAAATTGGGTTTAAGATGTTATTTTTAAATTAGTTTTGTCAAAACTATTGTCCAATGCTTTATTTTAAATTAAATATTGAGAAAATCTTTATTTTTTTTAAAAGTTACTAAAGATAGACTATAAACTTGACAAATACTTTCAAAATATTTGAAAAATTAACCAAAAATATAATTAAACCCTCTTCTTATGATTTCGAGAAAGAAAAAATGTTAATCGAAATAAATCCTTACAAATATCAACTAAAGAATAACTCCCATAGACAAAAGAAAAAAATCTAGATAATATTATAGTAAAAAATAACCCTACCAACATCTACTAAGAAAACCTTGATAAACCATGAAACAACTCTAGTCTAAATTGATAGAAGAATAATCTCAATATTGTTAACAAAAAATAGTATACATCAAATGAAAAATAGTTTTATTAATATTGTTAAAATAATTTAACCATCATTTATAAAAAATAGTCATGCTAACAATATCCAATTAATGACTTCTTAGTTAAACATAAGTTGAAGATGTTGTGATTAATATTAAGTCGATGAAATAATATAAAAAATATATAATTAAGATATAGAAAAGATTATGATTTTTTTTAAAAAATTAGTTTTTATATGACAATTGACATTATATAACTTATATGATAGAATTACTCTAATAAATTTCTTTTGAATTTATTAATCCAACCCAATGTATTTTGAAAATAATTGTTTGCTAAAAATTCTTCATCTAAAAATAAGTTGCTATAAAAAAAGAAAGCAAAAAAGTTTAATAGAGAAAACTAATTAAAGAATTTTAAAAATATAGTTAAATTAAATCTATAATTATAAATTTTTATACTTATAAAATTATATGTATAACTACCGTAGAAATGTGAAAAATATCTTTCATTGAATTTATAATTTATTATCTACAATTATTAAAATTGAATTTCACTTTCTCACTTGTCAAAAAAGGACAAATTTTTATTTACATTAAGTGTTTTTTTACTCTTGTATTTTATGTGGAAATTGGTTTTGGTTTTTATATTTTAAAAATTAATAGATTGATTTTTATGAAAAGGAATTCGCACAAGATTCTATCACAAAATTAATAGATTGATTAATAGTTATTTTTATGGTGTGTGGAGGATCTCTCTATCATTGGAGAAGAAATTACAAGTCAATTGATATACATTACTTACAAAATGCAAAATCTTTGAGTGTAATTCACCGTGGCATGCATACATAGATGCTTACGTAACTTATTAGCACAAGAAAAAAGAGGGGAAATTAACGAAGAAAGAGAGAGTCTTGACTCTTCAAACATTGGAGGGATCCAAAAGTTGGTTGTTCTAAAGGGCAAAAAAAACGAAAATAACATTGTTCAGTTGTAGATGAAGTGACACCCATCGAAGCCTGTTGAGAAGAAAAAAAAGAAAAGAATAGCATTAACGATGGCAATACCAAAAATGAGACCATGTTTGAATTCAGAGAGAAAATACACTTTTTTTTTTTTGGAGGGATAAGAAACATATAAACATTTAATGAAACCAAATTGTCTTATGATTTTGGTACTCACTAGGGTCAACTGCAACTAGGATGGCTGTGCCTCCAAACTCGCAATTTCCTCCAGCACCTTTAGTCCTTTGCCAGTAACTATTGAAAGCATATGAAGCATGTGCATACACAGTGTTGGGCTCATAGCAGGGCCCATTGGGCTGAATTGAGGTGCAATCTGCTCCTGACCAACAAGCATAGTTCATGGCCTCTTGGATGATTGGGTCTGGGACGGAGGGCTTTGCCACACACCACAGGGTGGTCCTTGGGGCATAGTTGGGTGGTGGTGGCACACTTGGTGGAGGGTACACAACAGGTGGCTGAAACACACTTGGGCTAGGGACAGTGCCTCCTGAGGGGGAGGGGATTATCGTTGGTGGGCCTGGGGTAATCCCACCAGAGGGGGATGGGATTATGAAAGGTGGGCTGGGCTCAAAGTAGGGGCTGGGCTCAAAGTCAGGTGGGCTTGGGATAATGATAGGAGGATTGAGCACGGGCTCGGGTGAGCCCGGCGTTATGGTGGGTGGGCCTGGAACAATTTCTGGGGTTGGTGTGGGGAAAGAATCTGGTGGGCCTGGTGTTATGATTAGGGGATTTGGAGGAGGGTTTTGGATTGGGAGAACTGGTGAGGTGTAATAGTAAGGTGGTGATGGTGTTGTGGGTTGAAGGCCTGTGGGGGTAGGCATGGTGGTGGAAGGAGTACCTGGTGGTGGGAACACACAAAATGGAGGGCTGTTTTCTGGCAATGGGATTGGAGCCAGAGATTCATAAGGGGGCAAAGAGAATGGGGAGCTAAGACTGTAGGGTTGTACATTTGATGAGAAAATGGTTGGATTCTCATCTAAATGCTTAACTGTTTTCAACTTCTTTGGGTTCTTGTTGGTTGAATTTCTTCTATGTTTAGGGCCTCTCAATAGTCTCATTGATCTATCAGCATCTGGAAAGGGGAAAGTAATGTGTCTTTTGAGCCGTTAATTGTTGCCATTCAATATGTGCTTATTGTCAATGGTATTATACTGCAGTTCTCAATACATTCTACCTCTTATTGCTTGATCATGAGTTCTTCTGACTCATTCATTACACTGTAAATGGATTCTAACAAGCAAATGCCTATATTTCAACCACTATGCAAGATCATGGTTAATTAAAATTTAGGAAATAGTTCAATAGCAGTTAAATTAAAATTTAGGAATGATACAGATGATACATTGTTTAATTAAGAAGAGTTGAAGAGAAAGAAAAGCATGTGGGATGAAACCTATCGAGGTTAATCAGACTTACCACATTGAGTGAGAGAAATGGAAGACAAAGTCAGGTAGAGGAGAAGTATCCCAACATTCTTTCTCACTCTGTTTGTTTCCATGACCATGACCCCCACTTGCAATTTTGGTTACTGCAATGCCACAAGATGTGAAGAAAGAGGCTTCTGATTATGGCTCCACTGTTGCACTCCAATTCCAGAGCACTGAAAGACTCAAAGGTGGAACAATGTGAGGTTTTAATATAAATGCAGGCCTTGGAAAGCCCCAAGAATTGCCCAGAGTAAAGGAAGAGTGGACAAGAGGGTTCTGTTTGGGATAAAGATTGATTCTTTGGGTGACACAACTTTGATGCACAGTCATCCTTGGTTGGAGATGTGAGCATGAAGGCATGCCAAAAGTGCAGAAAAGGTGTCACAAATGTGAGTATTTTATGGGAATTCGCTCACCGGCTCAACAATGTCCTTTTCAGGGAGTTTTTATAAGTTCATTTCATGGTGGTATATATGCTTGCTTCGCCCTTGGAAAAGATGAAAGTTTGGTTTTATAAACCCTTTTCTTTTGCTTGCTTTCTACTCAAAGCTCTCATGCAGACACTACCACTTCCCTTGCTGTGGCGTGAGGAAGAGGTTGGTCAGTCAATAAACATAAGCAAGAAGGCATTAGCTACAAGTTTACTGTTAATTAGAAACTTATACATCTCAATTGGCATTCAAGCAAAAATGTTTTGTCAAACACAGAAGAAAAAGAGAAGGGTATAGTAGGTTTCTGGTTAGAGGTACCATATCTATTTCTAAAGTGTAACCAAAGTTTCAAACGACAAACCAACTATACAATGAATGTTGTGACCAAAATTATAATCATGGACAGTTTTCATAACTTTGGCTGTACATGTTTTTGAAAAGTGCATCAAAGTTCTTGTCAAACCGGAAATGGAAGAGATGGTTCTTTTTGGTGTGGTGTTCCCATACTATATTCTAGTTAAGATGCTTTAGGGAAAGTGTGCTTTAGGCTACCATGTACTGGGATTGCATTAGTGTCAATGTCTCAGCTTAAGAGCCTAAATCCTCAGGGTGTTCTTTTTAGGGAAAGGGAAAGAGGGAAATTGTCTATAGTAGAGTAGGAAAAAGAGAGATTGGTGATGTGACATATGAATAGGACTAATATAGTATTTGATCACCTTTATGGTGATATCTTTGAAAACTAAATGCAACATTAGATTAATTATGTATGGTCTACGGTCATCTCTGTTGCTTCTTCATCCTGGGTTTTGGTAGTGACCAAGATATAGTTTTACAAATTCAACCTATATTTTATGTTTGATTAGTGAAATTTGATATAATTGTTTATTCTCTTAAATAAAAAGTAATAATTATAACGATTTTGAAAGAAAAATTTTAATTTTTTAAATTTAGTGTTTAAAAATTAAGGTATACTTTTAAATTTGAAAAACTATTTTTCTTTAAAAAATTTGATAGACCAATTTTTCTTTTTTTAAATTGTGAAGACTAAAACATACGAGTTATATTCTAAATAAAGAAATAAATCAAATTTTTGTCCAAATAAAATATTCATTGGCATCTTTGTTTACTTGAGCCATGAAGCATTTTGATAGTGGTTAGATGCATAACTTAGCATTTGCGTGTACACCCTTTTTTCTTTTTAAATTATTCAACAAATTATTGATGCTTCTGATCATCAAATTGGAAGAATCAGAACAATGTTATGTGTTCAACTATCATATGTCAATTTCTGTTATTTTCTGCAAGTGTATATATATATATATATATATATATATATATATATATATATATATATATATATATTATTTATTCAATGTTATGTCAATTTATTTTTTCAATTTTCACAATATCATAAATTGTCAAATATATTCAGATAGTTTTAGGATTTAATTAAATGGAGATTTTTATTTCAATTTTAAATGAAATTATTTAAATTTAATAAAAAAAATATTTTCATAAGTTGAAATGATTTGTTGTTAATAGAAAATTAATGAAAAATTATTTTTGCCATTTAAGAAAAAAAGTTACAAATGTGTAATTATAATTTTGACTAATCCTACAAAGGTAAGACTATGTACGTACAAAAGATATGTTGATATAAAAATTGCATAAGGGGTTAGTCAACAATATATATAATTACTTAAAATTGTATGTCAATATCAAGATATTATTTACTATACATGATAAAGAATATAAATTTTGATTCTGATTACAAAAATATCATATCGTTGAATTACACAAATTATTCTTAGTAAAATTAAGATCATCAATAAAAAAATATACTTAAACATACTCATTTATTAATTAGGGCATCTTTATACATTTTTCATTCGTTAGAACTCCAAAAATTATAATCAACACAATTTGAATCAATAAAATCAAAATATTATGAGTTCAATTAAAATATCAAATATATATATGCTAAAATACTAAACCAATGAGTATTGACTTAATAATTTCACATTTCAAGATTTTTTTATGAATTTTATTACATTTTGATAGGGAGATATGATTGTTGAAGTATAGGCATGAACATGAAGTGTTTTTAAAATGAACATATATCATGCAAATGAAAGAAAAAATTAATAAACTTAATTTCCTAAAAGAGAATGCCAAGTTGATTTATTTGATTTGCTTTTATTCATTAATAAAACTCTTAAATATTTTCTCTACCTGCAATAATTCCTTACAATTATTATTATTATTGTTAATTATTAAAAAAATGAAAGCATAATTCATCAACAGAAATGCATATCTATGGAAAGTGTTGCACATTCAGTTTGAATGGATGGGATCGCATAGTGAGAAATTGGCAGATGAGAGTTGAGAGACAGCATGGTATTCTCTTAGATTGATGCCTCCCCAAGATATTCCAATTGCAGGGACAAAAACTGGAGTCAAGTACTTTTATAAAGAGCCCTAATAACATTAGCATCATGAGCACATTGGAATGGACCTAGTTTTTGACCCTCAAAGCCTGTCAAATGGGACAATACAGATCACCCTTTTTCATCAAATACTCTCCTACACCAAACATGATGGTCAAGAATAAGCACAGGCAAATTCCATGGTCAAAATCATGGATTAAACCTGTGATCAATTTTCCAGGAAAGTGCCTCAACAGGGACATGATGCATTTGGACATGCGTGTCATGCTCAGTTTTGGTTACTGTGTCCTAGTACTATGGTCAACTTGGCTTAGGTATCTTTTGAGTTAAGGCATATTGTGATCTTTTTGGACACAAATTTGAACCAGGGGTGCTTGTGAGAACTTGTTCTCCTCAGTGGTTGACCTCTGACGAAATCATTATTGTTTCTTTTATTCCACTTAAATATCTTTTACTTAATAGTTTTTCAAATTAGTACAGATTTGTTGTGTCTAGTTTTCCAGTTTACATAATTTACTTTTAAAAATTCATATTTTACTCTGAATACTATGTAGATATTTTATGCTTAAGTTCTTATTCATCAATGATTATAGTGTACGACACGCATCCAACACTTTATATTTCTAATACGAAGCTCCGTATTAGCGCATATACTGCACTTCTCTATTTCTGGTTTCTCTTGTTGTGGTGCTTATTTTTTGTGTGGCACACAGTTAAAGAGAAACGAAGAAAAGGAAGTAGCAGCAGTGAAGGAAGCACAGATTTAAAATCAAGCAGAAGAGAGAAAATTGTTCTATGAAGTAGCTGAGTAATTGAAAGTGATTAATGAAAACCAAAAGCCTAAGCCCATTTGGCCAATAGAGACATGCAACCTGAACCTAAAAGAAGGGATACATGTGCCCCTAGTTGGAGCTTCAAATTTTTCTGCAATCTTGGGTTCATAAAATCTGCTGCTAGAAGATCAACCAGTGCCATGTAAATCAAAATCCCAGCAGAAGCAGAATTGAAAATCCCTTCAACAGTTAAAGCAGTAGGACTATTCTCTTTGTAAACACTTGACACTCCCATCCCAATTGCTATACCAATTGGGGTTGTTAGGGAGAAAAAAGTTGCCATAATTGCTGTAGACTTGGACTCAAACTTTGCCTGTCACAATTCATATAACGTTTATTTAGCATTCTCCACTTAACCATATAACGTTTTACCTTTTCACTCAATTTCATATATTTCATTTTGAGATAATATAAAGAAAATTCCTAATATACTCATAATTTTTTTTTCCAAAAATATATACTACAACTGTTATTTAATAATAATATAGTAATAATAAGCACAATTAAATAAAAAGATATTTTTTTATTATAATTATATTAATAAAAGGAGTTGTTAGATGATTACTTTTTTTAAAGGGTATCAAGATATCATTTTTCTATTATTTTTCACTGGATTTCACATGTTTTATTTTTTACTTTAAGAAAAAAATAATAGAAAAATGTAAAGAAAAAAATATTTTTAAAATCACCCTTTTTCTCGTTTTTCTCTTAAATAAATATACAAGTAAATTTGCAATTATATAATTACTTAATTTTGATTTTGTTATTTTATCATTTTTAAAAATGATATTTTTTAAAAACATATTTTTCAAATAAACATATATATATATATATATATATATATATATATATATATTTTTTTTTAAACATGGAACTCGATGTCGTGTGAATAACTTAATGTCGGAATCAGGCAAAAGCATGTCTTTAATTCACTGGTGACTGTTTGGTCTTTCTCTTTTTCTTTCTTCATGGGAGATGAAATTATGAGGATGTTGTCATCATGCCAACATTTTACACGCCCCTGTGCTTTCCAAACTCAAAAGAATCCAACTTTTCTCTTCTGCTTAAAATTTATCCCATGAATTAATAAATTCAGTTTCACCTTTCAGTGTTTTATTTTTCCTAAACCCCACGTATGATCTGATAAAATAAGGATACTATTCAAACTAAACCAAAAAAAAAAAAAACTGAAAATTTAGTCCATTTTACTAATAGTTTCTTTTTTCTGAAAGATGTTTATTTGCTAGTGTTTTGTGATAACTCTTAAGATGAAGTAGGGCAAGAAAAAAGATTATTCTTTGAAGATAAAAGAGGGTCTTAATCATTTTGTTATGCATGTAAGATGTATGAAATTATACCAAGCAAATTGCAATACCTGAGATATGCAACCACCAAGACCCATCCCCTCAAAAAATTGATGGAAAGAGAGAGCCACCAGGAGTGGCTTAATGGTATCAATGCTTCCAGCAGTTCCCAATGATATTCCAATAATCACTGAATGGACCACAATTCCTATTTCCAATACCTGGCACACAATCCCATAAATCCAAACTCAACAATATTCCCATAACACAAAAAAGAAACACTCTAAATCCAACATGAATAAAAACAAAATAGGGTGTGCATATCAGTTGAGTTTGATTTAACCTTAGTAGGAAATGGAAGAAAAGAGAGTTATTTTTGCAAACTCAGTTTATAAAATGAAAACTCAATCAAATCTAAGTTTGTAAACTTTAATTTCGAACATGTACAAATTGATCTTACTTGTGATATGATGCGCTGTCTAATTACTTCAGATGTTTCTGAGTCCTCAGATGACACAGCTGATCCATGAGCATGGCCATGTGTGGCATGAGTGTGAACATGGATGTGACCAGCATGTTCATCTCCCATTTCCTCATCAACAGCAGGAACCTGCTTTGAGGGATTAAAATGTTGCCTATGGTAGAACCCTGTGGCAAATGAGTCCACCATTAAGGTCCCTATTGAGGACATCATGGCAACAAATCCAGTGAAGGGAAACTTGCCCCATGGATTTTCCTTAAGGCAAGGTGAAGTCAAGCTTTTATATGCATCAGGAAGTATGTGGACAAACCCAGTTGCAAGAATCACCCCTGCAGCAAAGGCCTTAACCATGAAGAATATGTCATTCTTGGGATTAAGAGTAGGGATTCTCTTGCTCAGCAATGGGAGACTCACTCCAAGAGCCCCAGCAACAAGCACAGAAGCAATTGAGCCAAGTTTGTAGTGGAGCACTTCACTTGAGTTACTCTTTTTGGCCTCATCTATGTCACATGTGCAATCCCCTAAGGCCAGGGTTGGCAAAAGAAGGACACAAACAAAGAACAAGTTTGAGATGGTGTTTGAAGATCCTTGAAAGTTTATCATTGTGAAGGGAATTGGGATTGTAATTAACAAGTGAAGGAAGGGAGAGGGTGGTGTAGGAACTGTTGGGGCTAGGTATGAGTCTTTGAAATGTTTTAATGATTGTTATTTAAAAGAGGGAAAAGTGAAGTTTGTACCTTGATATTATGCTGGGATCTAAGGTTGAACATTTATATAAAAGACAAAAGGAGAGAAAATAAAAGCCACTCTGAGAGGCTCAAAACTTGAGCATCTTAAACAGCCAATAACACCATTATGTCAAACATAAATCTGGTAACAAGCCACACGCCTACTTTTTAGTTTAGGCCACACTAGGATTTCTATGTTAATTAATTAAATCAAATTATTTCAATTATAAAAACAAATACTCATTTTGATTACATAGATACAATTTTGTTTTCTATTATATTCAATTCTCAATATTATTCAGTGAATATAATTATTCGGAACCAACAAGTAAGCTAGTTGAAAAATTAATGTCTCCCAAGTTGTAGTGTTCATCTTTTACTGAAAGAGACAGTTGCCTTGCTATGCTTTGGATATGATTGTGTAAATTATAAAATTATTGTTTGATAAGATATATAAATTCCGTAAGTAATAACTGTTTTTTTCATGTTTGAAAGCACTTATGATACTGATCAATTAAAAAATACAGATAAACTCATAAAACAGTTCAATAAAAATAGAATCTGGATGATTTGACGTTTATATACTAATTAATTGATATACAAACGATGTACAGAAATGGTATTCAAGTAGCAGAATTGTTTTATTTGAAAGGAAAACAGAGGGGTTGAATTGAACTACCCTTATATGAAACCTTTTTCATTTCTGCAAAAGATACTGCAATCTGGATTGAGAATCTATGCATGTCGAAAATTACTGATTTGAATAAATTGCAGTGGTTTTGGATGGCATTGCATAAGCATTTTATGGCACCCAAGGGCATTTAGGTCATTTGGGATGAAGATAGAGATGGAGTCAGAAAAGCAAATAATGGGGTCATAGAATGGAGTAACGTGCATCACACTGGGAAAAGATATCTTACCTAAAAAAATAAAGACCAAACAATAAATGAACTTTGTGTTGACAACATGTTGTCATGCAAACCCCTCAACATGTGTGATTTACCTGGTATTTGGCTCTTTCTCTGCCTTAATTTGGCTAATATGTCGATATTATGTCTTTGCACTTCCAACATCTCAAGCTTCTTCTTGCCCATTATATAAAGCTTCTTCTACTGGTGATTTGATTATTGAGTTAAAGGAAAAAGAAAAAGTTAATCTAGCATGGCTCTTTTTGAGTACTAGCTATTACCAAAGCTATGGTGCCTCTTTCTTTTTCCATTTTATATTTTCAACAAATCTTTCTCAGAATTACCATTGTCTTGTGCAGTTTGTTTAGTGGAATACAACTGGGATTTCTTTTTAGGGGGGTTGTTTCAAGTCAATTTTTTTCTTCGTTTTGGTTGATAAGTGAGGATAAATGCTTTTGTATTCATCAAAGGGTTGCGAAAATTTATTTTTGGATGTATTGTATTTCAAGAGAGTTTCAAAGCAGTTGCTATTTCTATAAGGAGAGAGTGATGTTTTATATTTGCCTAAAAATAATGTTATTTCAACAATATTTATCCATCCTATTATTTCATTTTTCAATTTTTTTTAAATTATTAAATGCAAGCTAAATATAGACCCTGTATAACATTCTGAGGTATAATATTTTTATAAATGTGCATTTTTTTAGATGGTTATTCATTATTGCAGGGTAGAACAGAGTTTGGAGAAAAGGTGGAGGGGACTGAAACAGTGGATTTGCCATTCCTTCATGGATGGTTTACAACTTCCCAAAGGTACAAAGCAAACTGGTACACAGTCGTAGGTTTGTTTCCTTAATCTTTTTAAAATTCAACTCTTAAGGATTTTTAAAAGAAAAAAAATAACTAAAATAAATTAAAAGTATAAAAATATCATTTAAAAAGAACTTAATAAATAATGATATAATTAAAAATATCAAATATGAAGATAAATAGTAATAAAAAGAAAGATACATATAAATAATAATAATATTATTATTATCCAGAGAATTTTCTTATAATCCTTATTTTGAGTTAAAAGAAAAATAAAAGTATTCTATTTTAAAACATATATTATAATTTATATATTTAAAAAATGGTAAAAACATAAAAAAAAATGAAAAAAAAGATAGAGAAAATAAAATAAAATTATAAAAAATATAAACATGAAAGTTTATAATTTCACTAGTCTATGCTATATAGAATATAAAAAGACATAATTTAAAATACAAGTATTTAATTATAAAATAATAAATTATTAAAGACAAATAAAAAAGAAAAATTCAAGAGAAGGTATAATCGAACAAGTACGAAAGAAATAATATTTTATTATTATTTTATATTAGATAGAAAAAACTTAAGGAACTAGTATCAAATTTTTTCTTTGCCCACTAAAATTGTCTTCCATGTATATTCTCTATGCGATCTAATGCTTTGTTCATACAGAAAATAGGATACAAGCAGTCCTTATAAAAAAACAAAAATATTAATAAAATAGTCAATTAATAAATTTATTATAATTATTATAAATAATATGTAAATTTTATCATTAATAATGAATATTTTTATTAAAGAATTAGAAATTAGGTAAATTAATAAATTTATTATAATTGTTATAAAAATGTAAAAAAGTATTATTATTAAAATTAGTGAGTAATTATGATTGTTATTAATTATTTTAAATTCATGTTAATACAAAATATTAAATATATTAAAATTTCATTATAAAATTTAAATTAAAAATATTTAATAATAATTTAATTATATTAGTAGTTTAATCTTATTAAAAGTAAATTTGATAATTTATTATTATTGTTATTATTAATTAAAATTATGATGCTAATGTAAGTTTCAATCACCTACTAAAAAATATGATTATTTTCATTTTTTAAGTTTCATGAACTCCAACAAATTTTACCTTCAAAAATCAATATCAAATAATTGCAAAGAACAAGTTAATTTTACATGTTTTTAGAAAATCATTAACGTTAATTTTTTCACAATTAAAAATAATTTCCAAACAAATTTTAAACATAAGTTAATAAGTTAGGATAATATAGAATATATAAATTTGTATATAATATTTTTGTAATATTAACTAATTCTAATTCAACTACATCTAATTTTTAGAAGATTTTACCATAATTAAAAGATTAGAACAAGTATTAACATATTTCTTAATAGTTAACATTTTTTATATAATTTGTCACAATTATAAAATATTATAATTGTCTAAATATGCGTATACTTTATTTAGGAATAGTTATCGTGTAATTAACATATATTAAAGTAGTTATTTAAGTAAATTATATATATATATATATATATATATATATATATATATATGAGTTTGGGTCAACAATAAAGAGGATAAGAATTATATTGCAAATTCTTTTTTTATGGTATCAGAACGGTCCCTGATATTTCTAGCATGACTAAAGAAGTGAAAGTGAGAAAGACAATCTCACCCTATAACATAACGGTTGTTTAGAGTCTAGGAAGGTATCATGGCAAGATTGAAAGTAAGGACCGAAACATAATATGTAACAACTGTAATCATTCAGGACATGACTCTAAGAACTATTTTCAATTAATTAGTTATCCTGAGTGGTGGAGAGAACACCCTCGAGAAACTGGATGAGGTAGTAGTCGAGGGAAAGCTGGACAATAAGGAAATACATCATTTTCTAGAGAATGTGGTGTAACAGCGCAAACCTCTATGCCTAAATCAGAAACTAACATCACGATAACAAATGCTGACAATTTTGCTCCTAGTGGATTAAACGCCGAGTAATGACGAACATTAGTGAATCTCTTAAATAATGTCAAGTTAGGCACTACTGAAAAGCTAATTGGCAAGTGTAAATCTACTTAATGGATTATCGAGACATGTGTTTCTCGTCATATGATAGGAGAGTTAGAATACTTTACTGATGAGAGAAATATATTGGAATGCCTAGTAGGGCTTCCAGATGGAAAACAAATTTTGACTGCTAAGGAAGGAATCTTGATGCTTAGTGAAACATTAAAATTAAGCTAGCTTGGAATGCAATCTGATTTCAGTATCATAGCTTGTTGACGAACTAAACTACATGACTCAATTTATAGATAAATTTTGTGTTATCCAGGACTGTGTCTTGAGAAAGGTGATTGGAACGGGTGAATGATGTTAGAATTGCGCAGCGGAATGTTCGCGTGGTCGGACAAAAACCAAGAGGGAGGGTGAATTGGTTTCTTAATAAAAATTAGGTTTTCAAAATTTTCCCCAAATTTTACCGATTAAAAACTGTGTAAATGTAAATAGAGAAGAGAAGAGAATCTTACACAGGAAATTTATACTGGTTCGGATCAAAAGATCCTACGTCCAGTTGCTAATCACTCAAACAGAGGATTAACGCTGTCACTATAATCAAGTTGTTACAAGCAAATTACAATTGAAAAGATAAAGATAAGAAAACACCTCTCTTGAAATCCACAAGAGATGATGAACAGCTTTCCCTAGAGACGACACAACACACAATCCACTAAGAACTCCAGTTAGTGATTCTTATCGCTTCTAGCCCACACCAGGTTCCAAAAGCCCCTTTTTCTTGCAACAAACAGTTCTCTGGCACTACAACACTTAACTTTTGTATGAAAAATGTTGTTCTACTTTTCCGAGTGCCATAGAGAAGCTTAAGTAGAGAAATTAGGGTTTGGGAATTGGGAATTTCGAATTAGGGTTCTTGGAAATAGGGTTTTCGAAAATAGGGTTGATTTGAAGTTAAAATTCGAAATCGACTGAAATAATCAATTAAATCAAGAGTTAATCGATTATTACAGAGCCAAAATCAACAGAACCACGAAACTCTCGTTTTAATCGATTAAAAGGGTCGTTAATCGATTAAACCGCTCGTTAATCGATTAACAGGAGGTTTAATCGATTAAACTA